GATGGTGTGCTCTTCTCTTCATCATCACTTCCTTCATCCTTTGAAGTACCACCAAATTTGCTTCCAAAAGAAGCTTTCTTGGATGGGAATGGCATCTTTGCCTTGGCTTGACCAAATGATGGCATGTTCTTTTCCTCAGCGTCATCACTTCCTTCATTCTTGGAAGTACCACCAAATTTGCTTCCAAAAGAAGCTTTCTTGGGTGGGAATGGCATCTTTGCCTTTGTTTGACCAAATGATGGTGCACTTTTCTTTTCATCACCTTCATCATCCTTTGAGGCATCAACTTTGCCCAAGCTTGGTTCTTTTGCCACACTACCAAATTTGCTTCCAAAAGAAGCTTTCTTGGGCGGGAATGGTACTTTTGCCTTTGTTTGACCAAATGATGACGTGCTCTTCTCGGCATCATTCTTTGAAGTACCACCAAATTTGCTTCCAAAAGAAATTTTCTTGGATGGGAATGGCATTTTTGCCTTAGCTTGACCAAATGATGACATGCTCTTCTCAGCATCATCACTTCCTTCATTCTTGGAAGTACCACCAAATTTGCTTCCAAAAGAAGCTTTCTTAGATGGGAATGGCATCTTTGCCTTGGTTTGACCAAATGATGGTGCACTTTTCTTTTCATCACCTTCATCATCCTTTGAGGCATCAACTTTTCCCAAGCTTGGTTCCTTTGCTGCACTACCAAATTTGTTTCCAAAAGAAGCTTTCTTGGGTGGGAATGGTACTTTTGCCTTGGCTTGACCAAATGATGGCGTGCTCTTCTCTTCATCACTTCTTTCATCTTTTGAAGCATCAACTTTTCCAAAGTTTGGTGCCTCTGCTGCACTACCAAATTTGCTTCCAAAGGAAGCTTTCTTGGATGGGAATGGCATCTTAGCCTTGGCTTGACCAAATGATGGTGCACTTTTCTCTTCATCGTCACCTTCTTCAGCCTTTGAACCATCTGCCTTTCCAAAGTTTGGTTGCTTTGCCACGCTACCAAATTTGTTTCCAAAAGAAGCTTTCTTGGGTGGGAATGGGACTTTTGCCTTGGCTTGACCAAATGATGACATGCTCTTCTTTTCATCATTCTGTTCCTTTGCAGATGAATTTATGTTGGAAGAGATACCAAAGTTTGGCTTCTTTGTTAAATTGGCTTTGGATGGAAATGGCATTTTTGCCTTGCTCTCACCAAGTGATGGAGTAATCGTCTCCGCATCCGCACTTTCCTCTTCTGTCGTAGATTTTAGTATTGTCGGCTCGATGATACCATTCTTCTTCGGCGGTTGTGGAAAGGGTGCCCTGCCAAAAGTGGATCCCGCTACCTGTTTCTTGGATACGGGCATTGCGGTTCCACTTTTAGATGCTTTCACTGTTTCCATTTGCTGTGTTGGTATGGTCCTTGATGGAATACCAAATTTTGGTTGAATCGATGAAGTTGAATTTTGATTCTTTGTACGAGATTCGATACTTGCTTCGTCCGTTGAAGTTTTCGAATCAGTAGCCTTCGTCGTTGATGATCCGAATCCTGGCTCCTTCTTAAAGGGAACTTTCTTTGGAGCAATACCAAATGGTGCAGCCCCCTGCTTCTTAGGAGGAACGTTTTTCGAAAGCGAAGATCCAAGTCCGACCTCATTGCCAAAGGGAGCTTGCTTAGAAGGACTGACAAATGCTGCAGCCCCTTCCTTGTCAGCGCCAACTTTCTTCGGAGGTGGAGATCCAAAACTTGGCTGTTTCCGAACAGGAGCTTTTTTCGGAGTTATTCCAAATGGTGAAGCAACCTCCTTTCCGACACCAGTGATTTTGGAGGGTGGAGACCCGGCTTCTGTTCCAGCAAAACTCTGTTTCGATGGTGCCTTCTGATTTGGAATTCCAAAGCTTGGACGAGTCGTTTGCGAAACTGCGGCTTTTGCTCTTTGTGGATCACTACTTGCTTTCGACGGAAAAGATTTTGGCGTGGGAAATGCAGTCTTTTTCGATGATGCTGTGCTGCTGAAGGATTTCGGATTTGATGTAGAGAAGCTGTTTTCATTCTGCGAGGCTTGCGAAGGGATGGGCTTAGAATTGATGATAGGCTTCTGTTTAGGTTTCGGAAAAGTTGTATTGGTAGGAGCAACGTACGCATTGGCTTCAGTCCCAGAATCGTCTTCGTTCCATTCACCTGCTACAGCGCCATCAGTACCCTTTTTCTCTTCTTGTAATGCATATGACGTAGTGGCTGCACTGACTGCTGCTCCGACAACAGCGGTACCGAGCGCGATTACCTTCACCTTTTCTTCGTCTTGTGCGATTTCTTTTCCTGCTTCTATCACTTTCTCTCCCTTTTCTACAATTATTGGGATGTTTTCATTGACAATTGTAACGTACTTTTGACCAGTTTCATACATCTCTCTTCCTTTTATAGCAGCCTTTTGTGCAGTTTCTTCAACTGCAGCTGCAGTTCTTTTGCCCGAATCAATGACTTCCTTTCCAGTATCAACGACTGTATTGTATGTCCTCTTTCCAGAGTCGACTACTTCTCTCCCAGTGTTGACGATTGTTTCTGCAGTCCTCTTTCCAGTGTCGACTACTTCTGTGCCCGTTTTCACGATCGACTGTGCAGTCCTCTTCCCGCTTTCGAATATCTCAGTCGCTGTCTCAACAATATTTCTGCTGTTTTTGGATACTTCTACAGTATTCATCTCAGTTGACCCAATCACTGCACCGCTGGCCGCGAGGGTTTCTGACAATGCAGGCGACGACGTTTCTGGCACTTCCTTTAAAATGCTGTCTTCTTTTTCCGGTGTAGATGATTCCACAACTGATTCCACCTCTACCGTGATTGCATTCTTCACCTTTTCTGGTGGAGGTTTTTCGATGTTGTTTTTGGAAACACCGCCCGTAGCAGTTTCTCGACTTTGCGTTGAGGCAACACCAGCATTCCCAAAATCTTTCTCATCTTGAGCGACAACGAAATTGCCTCCAAAGCTTTCAACTACAGAAGGAGCAGACTTTGCTACAGGACCAGTATCTTTGATGACTTCGACGGAGTTGGTATTTATTTCACTTGAACGGGGAATGCTGTTGGCTGTTCTGGTCTCAGTACTTTTTTTGGTTGCCTCCTCCACTTCACGACGAGCCACCTCCAGTTGCTCTGCCACAATTTTGGCAGCGTCGGCCAATTCTTGTTCTTCTGCTGCAGCTTCGGCTCGAAGTGCCTCAGCTTCCGCTTCTGCCTTCTCCGCCGCCTGAATTCGGAATACCTCGTCCTCTACTTCTGGTGCTTCAACTTGAAGTCCTTCAAAAACATCTGACTTTTCTGCTTCTTGGCTTTGGAATGCTTCTGCTTCTGCCTTTTGCGCCTTTATGATACGGAATGCTTCAGCTTCCACTTGTGCTTTTTCTTCTTCCGTTACTCGAAGTGCTTCAGCTTCAGCCTTT